TGAAGAGGGCTGTATCCCTGACCAGCAGAAAATACAAGTTAGCACTGACAATCAGAATCTAACAGGGAACGACAAGGAAAACTTCTGAGTTTAGTTCTTTTCAACACATGAATGAGGTTGCTTCAGAAGCTTCATAAACATTTATTACAAATTGTTCCACTAAATTATTGGAAACCTCTTTTGCTTATCATCTTCTCTGATATTTTGGCAAGATGTTTGCTCCAAAAATTGAGTCAAAAATTTCTATCTTACTTTGCCTCAGTTTCTTCACCTTTGAAATGTGCTAATAAGGCCAGGTCAGAAGTGACTAGACGACACATGGACCTCCACTGCTTCTTCTCATGCCAGTGGCAGGCAGAAGAACCATTCGTGGTCTCACTTCCACTGAACATGACCCTCTGAGCCTGCATGGCAATGTCAAGTCTTCTCCGCTTAAGTTTGATTCTCCACATGTCTTAAACCCTCTTTTCTGAAGCTTAAACATTGAAGGGACATTTAAAGCCTTATTATTGTGATCTTTATCCATTCAATACGTATTCATTGAAGGCCTACATTGTATTAGCCACTGGCAGAGGAACTGTGAACAACACACACCCTGCTCTCATGCAGGTTACAGTCTCCAGACAATCAGAAATGTTAACCAATAAATACAACTAATAATTACTGCTGTGATAAATGTTATAAAAGAAACGTACATTGTGATCAACGAGACTAGTGGGACTGTATGCAAATCCCGATAAGTTCATCAGGGAAGGGCCTAGGAGATGATACTTTGGCTGAGATGTGGTTAGATAGAAGCAGCCAGTCATGCGAAGAAACAAGAGAAGAGTAATACAGGCAGAGAAAAGAGAATATGCAAAGGCTTTGGGGTCGCAAACAGCTTACTTATTTTTCTTTAGCTTCAGTCTTCTTATATAAGACATTATTTGTTTTCTACTTACTATCTATGTCCTTCTTCTTAAAATATCTCCAATATTCTTCAGGTTGACAACATATCCAGTTAAAAATATTTACTTTCCAGACTCCTTTGCACATAGCATTGGCAATGCAGCATACATTTGATCAATGAGACGTGAATAGATTCATATTAGGATTTTAGGGAAAGTTTTTGTCTTTTTTGCTACAGAGACTACTTTCTTCTTTACCAACCATTACCCTTTACACTGAAAGAAGATGCAATGGTTGGAGATGCAGCAGCCATCTTGCAAAGAGGAAGAATATTAAAGAACATCTTAAGATATCAGCTTTGTTAAGATGTTGAACTACTCAGCAATCGACCAATAATCACTTACCTTCACATGTCTTATATGAAAATATAAACCTTTCAGCTATCCTTACTGCTAAAAGCATTGCCAACTATTTTTTTTGAATGTAATTCACTGTCCAAATTAGGAATCAGGAGATTTTTTAAGGTAAACAAATGCACTATTAGTAATTTTACCAAAATATTAGGCATAAATCAGTACTATCCCAGACAAACTATGATGAATGATCTTCCTAACAATAAGAGTATGTTGTGGATTAGATGAGCTCATGAAAGTCCAAATATTTCATATACTGCCTGACATGCAAGTAATATATAATACATGTTATCATTATTAAAAATGGATCTGATAATCAGGGGAAAAGATAACAGTCTACTTGATAAA